TGCTGGTGCCGCTCAGGGGGCGGCTTTTGCTGACTCCACACCGCTCCCTGACTGCCCCCCCCCCCCATCCCACCCCACCCCTGTGGGTCCAGGATCCTCTCCCAGAGATGGGAGGGATGCCCTTGATGCAGAGCAGGCGGAGCAGGGGCCTCCCCGGCGGGGCGCGTTGCCTCCATGTGGCCCCTCGCTGCAACTGCAACCCAGAAGTCGCCAAATTCCCAAAAACGCTCCCGGAAAAAGAAATCCAGGGAACGTTTCCATGCTACGATTCTGTGACGCATCAGTAAATCTGTAAATCTGTCACCTGTACAGATCTGTAAATCTGTCAGGGTTTATTGTAACAAAAGGTGGAAGTCCAGACAAGGTACAAAAACACGGCTGTGGCAAAACAATGACTATGACAAAGTAACAAAATAAAGATTACCAAGACTGAGGCAAAAACATGGCTATGGCAAAAAAATCAAACCTGACGTGGGGAGACGAAAGACTAGGGACGAGAGACGCAAAAGACGCAACAAGAAGCACGAAAGACGAACTCGCACAGGACATGGGAAACGAGGACTATTTAAAAACATGAGGGAGGGGAACCCCAGGTGTACACAATAGGTAATCATGACATGACGAGACACCAGACATTCCCCCAGACGTGACAAAATCTGTAAACGAACAGGAGAAATGATTTCGGACTGGGCCTTTTGTTCTACCTGAGGTGTTTTCGGAAATGGAAATTCTATCTGAGTCTTATCGGGGTCTTTCGCAGGAATCTGTGGCACTGGGAACAAGGATCACAGACCGGAAAAGGAAAAAAGTCTTAGCTCAGAGCTAGAAACCCTTCATACGTTCAGAAGAACTGAAATGTCCTTCAAATCCAACCAGATCTGAGCATCCACCTGTAGTTGTTAGCTTAAATAAGCTTATCGAATGAGCTTACCTGTTTCGCAGAGGGGGGGTAATTGATAATTGAACCCCAGGATGCTGTCTCTTTCTCCACATGCACACGTGGCATCTTTACAGTGTGTGTAGGGATAACTGAGTCGGCTATTTTGGTCCATTCTAGCCCGAAGCTTCGCTACAGTTTGACACACAAAAAACAGCAAGAAAAAGTGAAATTAAGAACGTTTAAGGTGGATAATATCGGATCGGAGCACGTGAGAAGTGGGACTCGGCTCCATATGGAGTACGGCTGCTGTGCCGCAGCTCAATATGGAAATCTACAAGTGCTCGCTAAAGGGAGCTTTTTAACACGTTTGGAGGTGATAATGCTGCGCATCTGATGTTTTTAAATAGTTGCGCATTTGTCTCCGGCTTTTCAAGAAAATGACACGACTACGCCATTCATCTGAGGTCAAAAGCCAAAAGACCAATTTTCATCAATCCCACATGCTGTTGATCTTCTACACCTGCAAAGATCTGAACATTCTTGTCTTCCATCTTCTCAGTACAACACAGACTAAAGACTCCTCCATTCTCCTCAGATTTAGACAGCCAACACCTCAGAAAACGTGGAACCCTTCCTGAATGGAGACAGTACTGTAAAGGATCCTTAAAACTGAGGGATCCCAGTCAGTGTTAGCATCCCAGGAAGAGGAACATGTGTTTCCATGAAAGTAACTTAAAGACCATCCAGGATACTCTGACCGGAGTTGTAGATCTGTGTTTTACGTTCTTTTTTTCCCAGTTTGGAACTTTTTTTGGGGTGATTTCTGGGTTTTTTGCTCTGATTTTTTGCGTAGTTCATTCTTTTAGGCCTAAGTCCTCCATTTGTTTGTTTTTTGTGTTCCACTTCCTTGTCTTTTATATTCTCCTCAGTGTTTTTCCAGTCTGGCCAACAGCCGTCTCCCCTTTTGATAATTTTCTCAACAGTTCTTCATTCATCAATCGCCCTCTTCTGTATTTAAGCTTTCTGGTTTTTGCTCGCTCTTTATGACATTATGTGTCCCTTTCTACCATCTTCCATCCCTCAGTTGTCATCATTTGTCTTCTTCCTGTTCTCCGTCTCCCTCATCATCCTCCATCCGGGTGTTTCTCCTCTCATGCTACAGTTCTTCATCAGAACTTATTTAGCTTGTTCTCGTTCAGACGTTAATGTTTCCACTTGTTCTTTTGTATGACTAAATCTTACTTTACTCCCTGGTGTCTGTTTGCCTCCACCCCCACTTTGACACATACGGGTGGAGGTAACCCGTTAACCCTCCGTCGCATAAACCTGAGCCTGCCTTGGTTACCGGCAGCAGAAAAAAGAAGCTTCAGAGACGTGGAATTGGACTGTACGCCGCTCTGTTTATGACAACCTTGTAATTGGAGTCAAGTTTATCCAGTTTTATAGTCATTCTCCTCCAGAAGTAAGTGAGGAAAGTGTGTGAGACGGAGAATCAGCCTCATTAAAAATCCGCGCTCCCCACTGATCTCGGGTCAAACTCATCTATAACCCTTCTTGGCTTTGTTTAAAGAAAGACAAAAAAAATCATCTCAGGGTTGCGAAATTAAATCATTTCCAGAGATTTTGTTTTTTTAATAAGGTCAAATGTTTGAGCATGAGAAGAAAACATGCCCCTGAGCAGCTAGCTGATGAACACTAAATACACGGTATTTAGACAAGAAGTGAGACAGTTTTTTCTTATTTTATTTCAACAAGGTCCGCGCAGACAAAGGGATCATCACCCACGTCTGATTATATACCGAAACGGAGCTTAAATTCGCGCAAATTTGTAATGCGAACAATGACGCGCGTCAAAAGATTAGCTCTGAAAACGCGTTCTGTGAAAGGCTCCGTCTGCTCCGGAGCACTGAGGACGTAACCCATGGCAGCCCATATTCAACCCAGCTTCAGAAGTCACCACAAAAGCCCGTCTGAATCCGCATTCAACGGGCTATTTAAAAAAAAACAAAAAACGCACACGTTTAACGCTGAGGCCGCCAATCGGAGACCGTCCTTGACAGATAAAACGCGACTGAAAAAAGCGAGTGAATCGAACAACGGCTAATACCCAGAGCTTTCCAGAGTGTCCTTGTCACACAGGAAAGAGGCAGAAACGCGCCACGTCTTTCCTTTATGATCCGGTAGGCAGTTCTGAAAATATCTCCGGCAATGAAAGGTGCTAATTGGACTCTTGGTAAGATAAAAGCAAAGAAACAGAAAAAAAAAAAAAGAAAAAAAAAGCCAAAGGCTCTCATTGCCATGGCTACCTGCTCCACTTGGCTTTAATTACAGTAATTATGTTTTTTTAAACTTTTTCACATCAAAGGAGTTGCTCCGGCGTTTCTGCGGCAGAGGCTGGCTGTGACCTACAGCTCTGCCTCCCACTGACCCGCGTCCGGTGGCGTCCAGTGGCGTCCAGTGGCGTCCGGCGTTCCTCTCAGAAGCCGTTAGCGCGTCGGGGTCGGACATGAAAGCCGCTGACCTTTAGCCGCCGACCGGACGAGCGGCTAATCAGAGACACGCAGCAGCTGTTAGCCCAGAAGTTCACGCCAGACAAATTATCAAACGACGCTCTGAGGGAACAAAACGAGTTAATTAAGCAACATACCACTAAAAAATGGATTCGGCATATGACTCTTTTTCTGTGTTTAGGTTTGTTTTGTGTGCTCTCTGACAAGAGACTGCAAACTGAATTGCCCTACTTAGGATAAACAGGGTTAGGGTTAGGGTTAGGAGGTTTCTGGGTTGGAGCCCCCGGGGGAACCAGAACCAGAGGGTTCTGGGTCGGAGTCCCCGGGGGAACCAGGACCAGAGGGTTCTGGGTTGGAGTCCCCGGGGGAACCAGGACCAGAGGGTTCTGGGTTGGAGTCCCGGGGGAACCAGGACCAGAGGGTTCTGGGTTGGAGTCCCCGGGGGAACCAGGACCTTTATACCAGAGGGTTCTGGGTTGGAGTCCCCAGGGGAACCAGGACCTTTCTGCCAGAAAGTTCTGAGTTTGAGTCCCCGGGGGAACCAGGACCTTTCTGGGTGGAGCCTGCATGTTCTCCTGTGTCTGTGGGTTCTCTCCGGGTTCTCCGGCTTCCTCCCACCGTCCAAAAACCTGCAAGTTAGGTTGATTGGACATTCCAAACTGCCCTTAGGAGTGAGTGTGAGTGGTTGTTGGTCCTTGTGTGTCTCTGTGTGGCCCTGCGATGGACTGGTGGACCATCCATGGTGATCCTGCCTCTGCCAATTGACCACTGGGATAGGCTCCAGTCCCCCCCCGATCCCATTAGGGAATAAGCCGTAACAATAATGGATGGATGGATGGGATAAATTAAGTTGTTTGCATTTTGAATCTGAATTTAATTTAGTGAAAAAGGGTGCC